AACAGCTCGAACAGGGCGCGGCCGATGTCATGGCCCTTCCTCGCCAACTTCGGGTCAAGGTAGCGAAGGTTCTCAGTATGAGATTCAAAAATCGAGGCGGCCTCAGATGGATCACGCAGAAGTCCATGTCCAGTCTCCAGCATCGAGCGCAGCGTGTCGAGGAGGATCGCATCCAGCTTCGCCTTCCCAGCACCGCCACCAGGCACATAGATCTTGCCTGACTGGTAGACCGCCCTGCCACCTTCCGACTCTGACTCGGAATAGCCAGGCTGGAACCCCTGCAACGTCGTCCACGCCGCAAGTGAATCATGGCGCTCATCTGGAAAGCTCACCGACCCGCCAAAGACCGCGAGGCGACGTACAGCTGCGCTTTGGGGCACCGTCAGCACCGCATCATGAGCGACCTCTCGCCCTTGACCTCCCAGAGCATTTAAACTGCGAGTCCCATCTCGTAGACATCTGTTTTGACGATCGCGCTTTGCGCCGCGCCTGATTGGAACAACTGAACATCCGAGCGGCTGAGGCCCGGGAAGTCCTGAGATGGAACACAATCGTCCATGAGCAAAACCCAGCACCGGGTAGTCCACGGGCGCCCCCCCTGCGAAATAACAGTAACTGTTCGGGGGCCACCAATCGCCGCAACCGTGTACGCAAATAACGGCGACGCAGTTCACCCTGCCCCGCCAGCTGCCTTGGCGGCGGCTTTCGCCTTGGCAGCGGCCTTCCTCTTCTCCTTCGCGCCCAGCTGTGGCGGAACCTGCAGCTGGGCCTGGCCCGCGACGGCGGGGGGCGGGGATAGCCCCGCGCCAATATAAGCATACGGCGCAGGAACCGTGGCCCCCCCGAGCGAGGCCCCCCGCGACAGCAGCTTCTCCTCGCTGGCCTTGCGTCTCTTTTTCGGCACGGCTGCGTCCTTCTGAAGGCGCTCGGCAACCCTCTCATTTATCTCTGGAGCGACAAGGGCCGACCCGCGCCCAGACGACTGCCCAAGAAAGATCTCACGCTCATCCAGCCACCCGCTGCCGCCAGCGCCTGCGCCGCCCTCGGCCTCCTTTAGCGCAGTGCTGTAAACTTCCTAGTGCTGTAAACTTCCTCCCGCAGCTGGCATCGCCTACAAACCATCTCGTAGCGCGCAAGCTTCGGCAAGCACACCTGGTCGACCTGACACCCGACATCGATCAACTCACGTAGAAAAGCGTGTTCGTCTACCCCAGGATCGTCAGGCGTCAAAGAGGGAACCTGCCGCCAACACAGGTGGCGTTGCATGCCTGTGCACCCAAGCCTCGCCAGCTGTAGCAACAACCGTTGACAGGTACGCGGCCCGTTGATGGGCCAGATAGGGATGGACTCTGGCTCCATCACCTGAACAGCCTCCGAGACGGCGCGGCTGTTCTCGCCCAGCATGTCGGTCTTTACCGCCAGCGTGCGCACGTCCTGTGGGGGGCCACGTGGTGTCGGCACTTTCACTGAGCCAGGCGCGCCGACGGCCAGAACACAAGGGCACCTCGCGGAGAGGAGCGACGTCTGAGCCTGGCCTGCCGACGCCACCACTCTTGTTCTCTTCCTCTTGGCCAGGGGCCGCCTCGACCCCGCCCCAGGGGGACCAGCCTTCGTCCAACGAAAGGGTTTCTCTCGCGGCCCCCGTGTGGCCCTGAGGGGGACCGCCAGCACCCGCCCCCAACTCGGGGAAGACGCGGCCGCCTCGGCCCGTCTCTCGGCCTGCTGCCAGACGCCTGGGGCTGCTGGGCCCGTCCTGCGATGCCGGTGGGGAGACGGGGGGAGGCTCTCCGAGGACACAGTTGTCGAGATGGCGGCCCGACCACATGCTGGCGAGGTTGATGACAAGAGAGGCCAAACCAGACGGAGGAAGCACGCACGGAGACCGAGCACTCCGTATGGACTTACTCGGTATGGACCTAGCCTCCGATCAGGAGAGGCTAAGTCTGGAGTAAGCCCAGACGGAGACCGAACGCTGCGTATGGACTTACTTCGTATGGACCTAGCATCCGCAGGTGATGCACCCATATGAAAGGAAGCCGGGAAGGAGGGAGGGAGGAGAGGGGCGACGAAAAACCCAATCGGATCATACCAACCAGCGGGCCTCAACGACGGGAAATCATCAGACCTAGTCCTTGGGGGCAGCCTGGAAGTGGCCACTTCAGGATTGTACCGACGTGGTGCTCTGCTCTGCTCAGTCGTGGTCAAGAGCATGGAAACATTCGGTGCCATTGTACAGGATAATGATTTGGCTCTCGACTCCGCTATGGTGGACAGAAGCAGCGATCGGCTCCGTGCTGCTGGATACCGCCGCGGTGATCGACACCGTCATGGTGTCGTGGTGGACAGCGTGGTAGCACCCGGTTCCCAAATAATGGGCTCCGTCATGGTGGACAAAATGGGATCGACTCCGTCGTGATGAATACCATGGTAGTGTCCGACTCCGTCATGGTCGACACTGTGGTAGCGGCGTTCGACTCCGAAGTGCTGGATACTGACGTGGCGCTCGACTCACTTGTGGTGAACAGCAGATTAGAGTCCTATGCCGATGTGCAGTGCTAGGTTCAGCCGCGTGGCCGATATTCGGCCTTCTACGTACGGTCTGCTCGGGGAGACCCTGCGCCTCAACACGAGAATCGGTAGCCCGAATTTCGGCCACGCCCACGGGCCAACTGCGCCTATAAAGGGACTTGGTGGTCGACTACCTTTTGGATGATAACGTGGTACCCCATGGTACTGGATACGGACTGGAGGCTTCAGGATGCCTCCGCGGACCTCCGCGGAGGCATCCTGCAGCCTCCAGGGGCGGAGCAAACAACGCAAAATAATGCCCCACCATCAAAGCAACTACTCCCTCTCCTCCCCCCCTCGTCCTCCTCGAACCTGAAAAGACTTCGATCCCCGCCCTCCTCCCCTTACACTTCCTCCCCTCACACTTCCATCCTCCCCCTACACTTCCTACAGGCGGTGGTCGAACCAAAAAAACTTCGACCCTCTCCTCCTCCTCGAGCCTAAAAAACTTCGAACCACAGTCCACGATACACTTCCTCATCCCCCTCGGACCTCGACCCACCCGCCTCCCCTGAGATCTCTGGTGTTACGCAAAAGCTTCAACATCGCGAACACTCATCACTGGAGCCCAAGACCCAATCCAATCTTTTTGTAGCATCTTCCGAGCTGGGTCGATCGGTGTTGGCTCTGGGGCCCGAGACGACACAACGTCGCCCGTTGCAGCACACATTGCGACGCCAGGATCCGAGGTCGGCTGGACGCAATGAGGGCCCCTGGGTGAGAGTCACCTTTGGTGCGCGGCTTCTGGGAGGCGCGAGGTGGCCAAACCCAAGGGCGCAGGCGGCTGCTACCGCAGCGCGCTCAGCGATAGGGGGGGGCCCGATGAGCCCGCACCAAAGGTCACTCCGGCGCAGGGCCACTCCTACAGTCGACCCGTATCATAAAGGATACGCGAGAAGGATACGAGGGCCTTGGAAGGCCATCTCGCAGCTTTTCGAGCGGGGCGCGGCCTGCGAAAGTGGCCAGGGATGGACCGAGGAGGCAAGGATGCAAGGGTAACGCTGGGAAGGTTGCCGTTCCTGTCTATGCGGATTGACTGTACGTGTAGTCGATCAGGAACCTCCTCGAACCGAAATGTTCTTAGAACCCAACAATGATGTAACAAACAAGGTTCCTAAATCATAGACTCGATGTGTTAAGACAAAACGGTCTCAGGCAGAAATGTGCTAAGAATATTTCACGCGGACCAGGAAAGGCTCTTAGAACAGTCTCTGCTGGGCCTACGGGCGAGCCAGGGCGCTTCGCCACTGCTTGAGTGCAGTCGCTCAGAAACCTCCTTGAACCTCAGACCTCGAGACTGGCCCCAGCCGGCCGCCCGCGCCAAACTGGGGGCCTGCAGCAGCGCGTAGCACAGCTGCGGGTTGTCCTGCAGCAGCGCGCGGGCGCCCTCCGGCGACTCCTCTGCTGCTGGGGGGGGGGAGCTAGTTTCGGCGCTGGCGCGCCGGCGTCCCGAGGGGGAGGGGGGGGTGGGGGTGGGGCGCAGAAGGAAGCCCCGATTGGCGACGACGTGTTCTAATTCAAACCTGTTGTTTTTACCCGACGTCGCCCTCCGGGGACCGTGATCGAGCTCCGGGGACCGTGATCAATCCAGAACGCATCCGGAATGCAAGACTAGCCCGAGAGAGGGGGTTGGGAGTGATGGGGCCGCGGATGATCAACAAGAAATCGAAGGATGTCTGGGAGATGGGAGGATGACAAGGAGGGAGGAGGAGCAGGAATTCATGAACACTCTGCGGAGCCTGAAGCTCCTCAATCAAATATGCAGCGCGTAGACACTGGAGTGGCAGACACTGGCCGCATCTCTTCGCTTGACTAAGGAGAGGAGAAGGAGGCAAGAGCAGCAGGAGGGAGCAGGGGACCAGGAGGGGACGGCGGACTCTATAGCACGCTGCTCCATAGCACCATGCTCCAAGCACGAACTGGCGAGCCGCTCGAGGAGGAGAGAGGGTAAACAACTCACAGGTCGAACCTGGAGGAGGCACAAAGGACACGCGGCTGGTGCGCGATGACTGGAAGCTGAACGAGACCGCAGAGGCCTACCGATCGAGGGGATCGCAATCCGCCAAAGCGAGAGCATACTAGTGACATCCGGCATGGACCCAGCCAGCAGAAAGCAAACGACCGACCAGCCACACAAGAACAGCATGAGCCAGAACACCACCAGGACCTCTAAAACGACACCAGAGCGACGAAAACAAAGGGGTCTTACGCGAGATGCCGTAGCGACCTTCAGTACGCGGCGGCTTACGCGGGCCGCTGGCGCGGCACGCTGCAGTCGAGACGAAGGCGCCCACGCGCGACCTCACGCGGGCAACTTACGCGCCAATATCGGCGCAGACGACCTAGACTTCTTGCGTCGCTCACATGCCGAGCAGCGGGCCTCACGACCTGACAGAGCTCGGACCCTCATAACGTGCAGCATGGACCTAGCCAACCGAAAGCAAACGAACAAGCAACCACACAGGAACAGCACGAGCCAGAACACCACCACGGCCTCCAAGACGGCACCTGCCAAGCAGCAGGCCCAACGAACCGATAGAGAGCTCGGACCCTGCTGACTGCACCAAGACGAGAGAGGTTACGGCAGGTTCGTGTCGTGTCGACCCCAGCGTTGGTTTTTGACACCGCAGGGATCCTTCAACCTTGAACGATCGGCCGCTGCCGCAACGTCCGATCGTTCAACATCGATCGATTCTGGGTCGCCGGCGGCGTTCAACCTTGAACGCCCGCGCTGGGGTCGCCGCTGGTCGACACGACGCAAACCTACCGTACACACACACACAGGCACACGGGGAGGGAGGCGGAGAGGGGAGCAGCAACCCCTTCCCCCCCCACCGCCCCCCTCCTGAGACGAAGCCAGGACCAGGCTAGAATCGGGCGAGGAGGGTTCGAGAATCCCTGCCCTCGGCCCCCCAAGGCCCCTAAGAAGCCTCCACGAAGCTCCAAGAAGCCTCCCATGGGCCCCCACGAAGCGCCCAGAAGGGCAGCAAGAGGCCCCGAAAAGGCGCCCAAGCCCTGAGGAGCAGCACGCCACGACCGCCAATTCCTCAAGGGGTCGGCGGTGTGGCGTGAGCCCAAAAATCCACGTCCAGACTGCAGCCAAGCGTCTCGGCAATCCGACAGGACGGGTGTGTGACGCCAGGGCCCAGCCACAATACGTAAAGGAAGGACAGTTGCAAAACATTGTCTTCTTATACATTGCAAAGCAACCCCCCTTAATCCCCCCCCAGGGCCGCCGCCGGGGTGCCGACCCATTTCCACATCGAAATAATGAAAAAACTGTCCAAAACCTGTCGGAAATCTATGATTTCGGCACCTTGGGCCTCCTGAGGGGCCAAGACGGTCTCAAGACGGCTCAAGATGCTCGCAACACGGCTCAAGACGGCCCCAAGACGGCCCAAGATGGCCTCAGGAGGGCCTGAGAAACCCCAGTGATGGCCTAAGGGGGCTCCAAAAGGACGCTCAAAAGCGCCTCCGGAGGCCTAAAATATTTGTTGTTGTTTGGTTTTCGTTGATTTTTCTCGCTTGCGCCTTTTGCGCTCTCGGGGGGCCATGGCGGCCCAAACTGCTTCCAAGGTGGCCCCTAAAACTGCCCACGACGCTCCCAAGAAGGCCTCTATACGGCCCACGAAGGCCCCAAGATTGCCGAAAAAGGCCCCCAAGACGGCCCCGAAGGCCCCCCGAGAGCTCCCCAAGACGGCCTCCACAGAGGCCAGACGGCGCAACAGCGCCCCGAGATAGCCCAAAAGGCGCTCAAGAAGCCCCAAGAGGCCCCAAAGAAACCCCAAAGAGGGCCTCAGAGGCGCCCAAGACACCCCAGCAGGCCCGACAAAGACTTTACTGCGCGTGCTCAAGAGAATCTGGATCGGCTGCCTTCGCAGAAATGCGCGGGGGCGCTGCTAAATCCGCCGTATTAAGACCGCAAGGCTATAACATTTCTGACACGCCACCAACACGCAACGTATCCAATGTATCCACTGATTGCGTTATTGCTACATATCGTATGGCGTTACATTAGTATGTCTCCCCCCTTTCACCTCCCCCACGAGGCCACCCCACAACCGCCGACCCAAGAGTGGCGGACCTCTTCTGGACCCACACAGGTAAACAAAAACCAAAAAAAAAAAAAATGATTCGGGCCTCCTGGGCCTGTTGCGGGGCTAAGAGGCCGTGAAGACGGCTCAAAATGGCCTCAATACAAGCGAAGACGGCCCAGAGACGGTCCAAAATGGCCCCAAGAGGACAAAACAACACCCAAGACGGCCCCAAACGGCCTTAGAAAAAAGTCCAAGAGCGCCTCCGGAGGCCAAAACCATCGATATTCCGGTTTTGAAGAACCTTCCTTAGCGATCACACGCAGCACGAGCGCCCCAAGACGGCCCAAGACGCCCGCAAGAGGCTCCAAGAAGCCCCCACCCAAGACACCTCCAAGAGGCCACAACGAAGCTCCGAAGAGGCCCCGCAACGACTGGACTGTACGTGGTCAGGACGTGCACCCCGCGGAGCGAGAGGAATCCACGTCCAGAAGTGACGTGCTGAGCGGCAGCGTTTTCTGCGGGGGCGACCATGCAACGACTCCGACGTAGCCAATCGTTGAGTAACTGCCATAGGTTGCCTTGTTTTACACCATTACGTCTCCCCTGCTAGCCCCCCCTTTGGAGTCGCGCCACTCCGCCGACCCAAGATGGATTCCCCCACACAAAACAAAAACGAAATCGACGATTTGGGCCTCTGGGGCCTCTAGGAAGGTTTAGACTGCTGCACGCTTGCCCAGGATGGCCTCGGGGCTGGCCAAGGCAGCCCCAAAACGGCCCGAAATGGCCCATGCAGAGCTCATGAGGCCCTCAAGACGGCCCAAGAGGGGCCCCACGAGCGCCCGCAACAGCGCCCCCCGAGGCCAAAAACATAACTTGTCCATTGGTTTTGGCAGATTTTAACATCCTCGCGCGCGTCGACTTTCAAAAATCAGCGACTGCCAAAGCAGCAGCCCGGATTGCCCCAAGAAGGCCCCCAAAAAACCCAAAAGGGGCCTAAGACGGCCCCGGAACGACCAAAAACGTCCCGCAAGACGGTCCAGGAGGCCCCCAAAACAGCCCAAGAGGACTCCAAGAACGCCGCGAGGCGGCCGCGAGAAGCCCCCAAGACGGCCTCTGGAGGAGTCAGACGGGCTCCAAGCGTCCCCAAACGGACCGACATGGCCCCACGAGGGCCGAAAGAGCTCCCGAAACGCCCCCTCCAAGGCCAAGAGGTCCCCAAGGAGCCCCCCTGAGGCGCTCGAGAACGCCTTTGCGCATCGCACGGGAAGCTCCGGAAACTGGTCATCCGTGCATGTGCGACGCTAGTACAAGCGGCCCTCCGACCGAACGTTGACATACTGCACTTGGCTCGACGCGCGTTCCTCCGAGGTCGTTCACATCGCTGCATAGCTGGGCACAGGGTGGTCCTCAAGACGGCTCTCGAAGGATCCATGCGACCCTAGCGCGCCCGAAGGCGGCCTGGAGCAGTCTCAAGTCGGCAAAATCTCATGAAGTCGATGCCCATAGAAACGATGAGCATCTTCCAAAACGCACCTAACGCCCGCGCACTCCGCAATCCGGACGTGCACCCCGCGAAGCGAGAAGAATCCATGTCCGGAAGTGACGTGTTGCCGGAGGCAGGTCCGCGGATGCTGTAGTGCAACGTATCCAATAGATCCAATGACTGCACAATTGTAATGTATCCCATCATTACATATAATTTGTACATCTTGCATTGCGTTACATTATGATGTTTCCCTCCCTTTACCAAAGGTGGAGGCCCTCATTTTGGGGCTCAGAACCTACACAAACATATGGAACGTCAACGCTCGGCCTCTTGGGCCTCTGGGGACTCCAACAGGGCCTAAGATGGCCCAAGATGGCCACAAGACGGCCCAAGACGGCCCCAAGACGGCCCAAGAAGGCGCCAAGAGGGCCCATGAGGCCCGCAAGACGGCCCCAGAGGGCCCCCAAAGGAGCCCCAAGAGCGCCTCCAGAGGCTAAAGCCATTGCTATGTTTCCGGAAGTTTTTGGAGAATTGTTGCGTTCTCGTCTTTTTCTATCCTTAAGAGGTCCATGACGGCCCAGGCAGCCACCAAAATGGTCCCAGGACGGCCCCAGAGGCCTCCACGAGGACCCCAAGCAGCCCAAGAGGGCCCCAAAGCGGCCCAAAGAAGCCCCCAGGATGGTCCAAGAGGCCCACAAGACGGCCCAAGAGGACCCCAAGGGAGTCCACCGCGGCTGCGAGAGGCCCACAGGATAGCCTCCGAAGGAGCCAAACGGCGCAAGAGTGCCGCAATACGGCCCAGGACGCCCCCAAGCGGCCCCAAGAGGCCCCAAAGAAGCCCCCAAGCGGCCCCAAGAAGCCCACAAGAGGTCTCCAAGAGGCCCCAAAGAGGCTTCCACCAGGCCCCACAACGTCGGGACTGCTCCGGACGTGCACCCCGCGAAGCAAAAGGAATCCCTGGAAGGCTCTGGAGAATGCATCGGGCGCCGCGGCCTTCTCAGAGCGTTCCAGAACGCTCGGAGAGCGTTCTGGAGCACCTCGGAACGGATTTGTCCTCGTCCTGGCCCCGTCCGACCTCCCCGCTCCCTGTCGCCCACACCCTCCACGATGCGCAGAAACCACCCATGGTGCAGCCTGTGCACCACCCCGCCGTGCCTGGCTGAGGGCACGGGCATGCTGGAGACACGCCCTCGCTGCCGAGGGTCACGACGGCGCGGGCACCACCCCGGATAGCGGGGGAACGTGAGGGTGACGAAGGGGGAGCTGGCTCCGGGGGGGGAGGGGAACATCGATCTGGCCCCCCACACACACACACACACACACACACACACACACACACACACACACACACACACACACACACACACACACACACACACACACACACACACACACACACACACACACACACACACACACACATCATCGGCCACACACACACACATCATCGGCCACACACACACACACATCGCACATACACGTATCGCAAATACGCCCTCCGAAGGCCTAACCGCACGTTCCTGGGCGGCGGGGGGGCTATCTGGCTCCGGTCGGCGCATCCCACCTCTGAATCTGTCCGCCCCCCCCCGCTGCCCCAGGTCCCCGGGAGAGGGCCCAGCACCGCGACGCGGGCCAACGGAGCCACTCTCTCGTGGCCGCGCGCGCGCGGCGCCCACAGCGCGGCCGACGACGACGACGACGACGGACGACGACGGACGACGACGGACGACGGACGACGACGACGACGACGACGACGACGACCATGACGACGACGACCACGGCGACGACGACGATGACGACCACGGCGACGACGGCGACGAGGATACGACGAGGACGAGGACGAGGACGAGGACGACGACGATGACGACGACGACGTCGGCCTCGCCCGCCGCGCCGCGGGCGCGCCCGATCGCGGCGGCCGCGCGCGCCCGATCGCGGCGGTCGCGCGCGCCCGATCGCGGCGGCCCCGTGCGGGCGCTGGTCGCCGCCCTGGGGGGGCCCGCCGCGCGGGGCCGCGGTCACTCCACGCCGTACCCGCGGGCGCTGGCCGCCCCGAGGCCCTCCTGGTCGGAAGGCGACTTTCACGGCGGAGGCATGGCACGACGACGACGACGACGACGACGAAGACGACGACGACGACGACGACGACGACGACGACGACGACGACGACGACGACAAGGGCGACGACGACGACGACAAGGGCGACGGCGAGGGTGACGGCGACGGCGACGGCGACGGCGACGGCGACGACGGCGACGACAACCACGACTTCGACGAGGACGATGCCGACGACAACGACGAGGACGAGGACGAGGACGAGGACGAGGACGAGGACGACGACGACGGCGGCAGCAACGGCGTCGGCGACTGGCGCCGGTGGCCAATGGCGGCCGACGCTCCACGCCGGCCGTGCCGCGAGGACCGCATCCTGGCCGGGTGGATTGGGCGACAGGCCCTGCGCCGAAAGCCCCGGGCCCGATGGAGGTATCCAACGATGGAGGTATCCATCGGGGTCCTTCTCCAGAGCTAGGGTTAGGTCGGGCAGGTCCTCCTACAGGCCGATTTTGGAGGACAAACAAAAATATCCTCCTCCTCCCTCGCTCCTCCTCCCTCCTCCCTCACTCCTCCCCGTCTGGTCGGCCGTGGAGTTCAGTGCACAGACGTCCCAGCTTTCCAGGCTGTGGAGTGCTGGAGCGCCGATGCACCAAGTCCTTCCCCAGCTCCTCGGCACCTTGGGCGACCAAGCAACGTGTGGTATCCATCGAGCCCCCCCACCCTGGAGCTGGCCTGAGAGGGGGCGCGCACGCCGAGATCCTGGCCCAGGGTGGAACCTGCCAGAGTCCGGTGCACCTCCTCCTCCTCCTCCTCCTCCTCCTCCTCCTCTCGTCCTCGTCCTCCTCCTCCTCCTCCTCCTCCTCCTCCTCCTCCTCCTCGTCCTCCTCCTCCCCCCTCCTCCTCCTCCTCCTCCTCCTCCTCCTCCTCCTCCTCCTCCTCCTCCTCCTCCTCCAGGGCGCCGAACAAGCGGGCACGGGCCGAGCGGGCAAGGGCGGGCCGAGCGGGCAAGGGTGTGCCAAGGCAGCTTCCGCGAGGCCACTGTGCGTCCCTGCTGCACGCGTTGGGCCTGAGGCGGGCTCGCACCGTGGCGACCCAAGCGTGGCTTCTGTGGGGGGCCACATGCGAACCCTACCCCTGCCCCCCACGATTTCTGAGGGGGAGGGTGGGGTTCACTTCGTTTGGGAGCTCCCGAATGAAATGAACCCCACCCTCCCCCTCAGAAATCGTGGGGGGCAGGGGTAGGGTTCGCATGTGACCCCCTACTCTGACGCCGCGCGGATCGTTCCACCTGGAACGGTCGGCGGCTGTCCGATCGCCCGACCGTTCCGTGTTGGCCGCTTCTGGGCCACCGGCGGCGCTCAGCTGAACGCCCGCGCTGAGGTCGCCGCCGCGTCGACGCGCCACGAACCCGCCGTAACCAGAAAGCGGCCCCAGGGACACGCAAATCAATATACACAAATCCACGGGTTCCCCACGTGTTCCCGTATTTTCTGGGTTCTCGTCTTCCCCCACACTTCCCATATGTTCCAACATTTTCCTAGGAGTCGACGATTCATTGTGTCTGTGTTTTCTTCCCCTCCTCAAGCCAGGTGGATGCTTGGCGTCCCTGCAAGCTCCTGGTCGGTGCTGGCGCTCTCTGGTCCCGCTCTCCGCTGGGCTGGCCACCCTTGCCCTTCTGGCACTCTTGGCGTCGCTGCCGCGGCGCCATCACCCCGATCCTCCCAGATCTCCGATGCCGTGGTCTGCACAGCCCCAAGAACTCCCACCCCCTTCCCCATTCCCTGGGGGCCGGATCTTTCGCAGAGCCCCTGCAGGTTCACCAGGGGTCCCCGGGAGCTCCTCCCGGGGCTGCTCAGCCTCCTACGGAGGTCTCTCCCTCGAGGCCTCCAGAGGCCCCGGCAAACTAGGAAACGCCGGCCCGGCACACACGACGTCGAACTTCTGGGCTCCTGGCCGCCGCTGGCGCCCCTCTTCGGCTCCTCGCTCATGCTGGCGTCGCCGCCGGCCCTCGCCAGCTCCTCCACGCCTCTGACGATGATCGCGGCGGCTGTGTCAGCGACGGCAGCGGCGGCGGCGTCGCCGACGACCGACGACCGACGACCGACGACGACGACGACGATGACGACGACGACGAGGACGACGACCGACGACGACGACGAGAACGACGACCGACGACGACGACGACGACGACGACGACGACGACGACGACGGAAGCGGCAGCGGCGCCACGCCTATGAACTGGCGGAGGGCCGCGTCGTGCCGACTGCTGGGCGAGGGCAGCAAGTAGTCCGTGACGCGCAAGATCTCCGGGTGTTGCGTGATCTCGCGGGCCTCCCACCCGGCCTCTCCCCACAAGGGCGTGATAGGGGGAGGAGAGGGCAGGGAGCGAAGGCCGAAGATGTGCGGGCAAGACTTGTCCATGTCCACTGGAGCTTGTAGCTTCGGGCTCCCTTCCCAGATACCCGAGGCGCGCTGGATATAGGGAATCGAACTCTCTCTCTCTCTCTCTCTATATATACCGACGCTTCTTCCGGCCCTGCATCAGAATTTGCACTGGAGAGCAGATCCTGGTGTATACGGGACCCTGGTGTATACATGTTTCGTTGTTTCCCCGGGACATCTGGGAAAAAAAGGTATACACCACACCACCCCAGCGTCGTCCTCGACCCTCAAGGAATCCTGGGATTCAAAATCAGCCCGCCACTGGTAGTGTATTGATCCAGTTTCCGAGGATATGCATGAAGATCAGGCCCATAGAGGCTAGATGCCATCCATACCCAGTGCGCCTCGGCCGTGCGGCACCCCTTCCAATGTCCCAGACGCGCTGAATATGGATATGGATATGGATATGGATATCTACGTAATTGTAGCCATGTGCACTAGAACCACGCGCACGCTTCGCGCGCGCTTAGGTTCTGGCCGCAGCTGCGCCACGCGTTACGGCCCTCGCTTTCGCTCGTGTGATCGGCGACTTTGCGAAGTCCGCTGCATGTGGGCGTTGCAGAGCCTCCATCCGCCTCGGCCCCCTCCCCTCCCCATCCCTCGGCATCGTCCTCCTCCTCCTCCTCCTCATCCTCCTCCTCCCCGTGCTCCTGTTCCTGCTCCTGCTCTTCCTCCTCATTCCCTCCTCCTCCTCCTCGTTACTCCATGTTCACTCCTCTTCGCCCTCCTCTTCCTCTTTCTCCTGTTTGTCCTCCTCCTTATCCGTCTTTACCTTCTGTCCCATGCCCTCCTCCTCCTCCTCCTCCTCCTCCTCCTCCTCCTCCTCCTCCTCTCCACCGTTTGCAGCTACTCCTCTTCCTCCCTCCTCCTCCCCCTCCTTCTCCTCCTTCTCCTCCTCCCGAGTGTTCCCAGTGAGGTTTCCGGGAACGTATGGGCAGCTGTTCCCAAACGCCCTGGCAGGGATCGTGGCCCAAAGGGAACTCCACTTACGTCCCAGAAAGAAGGTTCGCGTGGCGTCTTCACGCCCACGTCGGCGCACCCCCCACACAGATCGCGCCCCCTAGGGAGTTCCACCGACGGTTCCAACAAGAGGGATCGCGTGTCGTCTCTCCGCACATACCGGCACACCCCCGACGCGGGCCATGCCCCGCAAGGGTCTCCACACACGCGGATCACGCTCCGCAGGGAGCTCCACGCACGGCCTCAGTGGGCGCGCCTGCGCGGCGGCCACCCCCTCCACGCGAAACGCGCCCCACGGGGAGCTCGGCGTCCATGCGCGCGCTGACTCCGCAGCGGCCCTCTATCCAGTCTACCCCGCGTCGCGCAGCACGTGAGCAGAGAGATAGAGAGAGAGAGAGAGCGAGAAACAACAAAAAACAAGAGCGAGAGACAGAGAGAAAGAGAGAGAGAGAGCCGCGCCCTGCGAGAGAGAGAGAGGGAGAGATAATACAACCAAAAGAAAGCGAGAGAGAGAGAGAGAAAAAAAAGAGAGAGAGAGAGAGAGAGAGCCGCGCCCTGCGCTACACGCAGCTGCATTTGGGTGGCCCTTCGCCAGGCCAAGTGGCTGCTCTTGTCTCTTGCATGTACACATACACGAGCACAGGCGCACAATCGTGCAAGTGTACATATATGCGTGTATATATAGGCATATATACTTTCAAGCAAGCGGTGCAGAGGGTCTTCCAGCGTGAGCAGCAGATGGAAGTGCGCATCGCGATCGAGCGCTGTGGGTGTGTTGGAGGAGCTGTACATCCAAATGCAACATGCACGGCCAGAAGACGAGGATAAGACCCAACTCAACATGAACTGAATCGCGACCGTACATACGTACACATACATACACATAGAAACAACATCTGTGCCGATCATGCGGCGCCCCAGGAAGGGGCCTAGGTTTTGGACCACAGGCCTCTCGTAGATGTCCATCAAGGTTTCTTGGAAGTCTCTCAGAAGCCCTTGTAGGGCCTCCTGGCGGTCTCCTGGGGGGTTCCTGGGGGCCTCCTGGGACCTCTTGGAGGCCTCCTGGGGGCCCCTTTGGGGCCTCTTGGGGCCTCTTGGGGGCCTCTTTTGGCCTGCTTGGGGCCAAGGCTCGAAATTTGAAGTTGGTATTCTCCCTGTGGGGCCCCTCTTGGGCCTGTCCTGGGGCTCTCTTGGGCCCTCTTGGGGGCCTCCTGGGCCGCCTTGGGCCCTTCTTGGGCCGTCTTGGAGCTCTCTTCGGGGCCTCCTGGGCCGTCTTGGGAGCCTCTTCGGCCGTCCTGGAGGCTGCGAAAACCCAGGAGGCGAATCTACTAAAAATATACGTTTGCCCAAGAGAATGGGACGGTTGTTGCTTCTTGGGGCCCTCTTGGGGGCTCTGGTGGGGGCCTCATTGACGACTTGGGGCGGCTTGGGGCGCCTTGGGGCTGTCGCGGTGTCATCTGGAGCCGTCTTGGGACTCTCGTGGGGCGCTGGCGGGGGCCTCGAGGGCCAGTCGCAGCCTATCTTGGCTGGTCTTGGAAGATTCTCGGGCTGTCTGGCGCCTCGGGGGGCCGCCCGAAGAACGCTCCGGGGCGGGGGGCACCGTCGTGCAGGGGGGGGGCCGTCCGGGGCCCCTGGGGCAGGGATCTCCCATGCATGCATGTCTGTCTGTCTGTCTGTCTGTCTGTCTGTCTGTCTGTCTGTCTGTCTGTCTGTCTGTCTGTCTGTCTGTCTGTCTGTCTGTCTGTCTGTCTGTCTGTCTGTCTGTCTGTCTGTCTGTCTGTCTGTCTGTCTGTCTGTCTGTCTGTCTGTCTGTCTGTCTGTCTGTCTGTCTGTCTGTCTCTGTCTGTCTGTCTGTCTGTCTGTCTGTCTGGATCTGTCTGTATGTATATGTCTGTAATGTATGTATGTATGTATGTCTGTCTGTCCGTCTGTCTGTCTGCCTGTCTGTCTGTCTGTCTGTCGGTCTGTCTGTCTCCTGTCTGTCTGTCTGTCTGTCTGTCTGTATGTATGTTTCATGTATGTATTATGTATGTATGAAATAATATATATATATATATATAATATATATATATATATATATATATATATATATAATGTATTATATATATACACATATATATATATATATATGTATTCCCTTTTCAATATTTTTACAATCCGGGGGGGTGGGACCCCCCCCCCGGGAAATCGGACCCCCGGAATCTGGCGCTTTTGGGGCCCCTTGGACGCCTGGCAAGGGGGTCCCCCGAGCCTTCCGGGCCTCCTGGACGCCCCTGGCCGGCCTTCTGCATCTCTGGACGTCCCTAATGTCCTTGCGAAGCCTCTGCAGTGGGCTAGCGGGAAGCTCACAAAACGGCCCCAGAGCCTACAAGACGCTCCAAAAGGCCTTCCAAGACGCTTCCGAAGAGGCCCCAAGAGGCCACAATTGTTGGCTTTCTCGCCTTTTCGGCTTCCCGACGTTCCAAGACGGCCCAAGAGGCTCCCAAGACCGCCGCAACACGGTCCAAGAGGCCCCCTACACAGCCCCAACACGGCCCAAGCGGGCACCGAGACGACCCAAGAAGCGCCCAAGAGGGCAACAAGGCCCCGATAAAGCTTCAAAAAAGGCCCCAGCGGGCGACCAAACATCCCAAGATCTAGCTTTCTGGTCCACGAGAGCCCCAAGAAGGCTTAAGAAAACCCCAAGAGGCGCCCCAACACACCCCCACGAGGCTCCGAGAGGCTCTAATCGGCCCCCAGGAGCCCCAAAAAGACCCCATGAGGCTTCAAATCGACTCCCAAGAGGCTTCACACCAGCTTCCCAGAAAAGCCCGAGAGGCGTACCACGCGATCCCCACAGGCCCCCAAAAGGCTCCCAAGAGACACGCCACACGGCCATGGAAGTCGTCCAAAAAAGCCCATGGAACTTCCAAAGGGCCGAAAGCTTCAGAAGGCCCCTCAAATCCCACAGTTCCGAGGACGGCCCAACAGGGCCCCAAAACAATCCAAACACCTCCTGCTGCTGGCCTCAGACTCGATTCCCGGTAACGAGAGACAGCACACATGTGTGCGTCGCAACAATATTCGGGAAATCCGTTGTGAACTTGGGATTCGGTGCACTTCCCGAGAAGATCGCACGTCGACGTTTGAGGCTCGAGGTTCGCGGGACAAGAGTCGAGAGAGGAAGGCGCAGATCACGGTTCGCAGCTCGACACTTCAGGTTTTCCTGAGATTTTCTATTCTTTCGGGGCCTCCGCTCTCTCGCCGCCACGTTGCAGGGGCCGCTTCAAAATTCAGTTCCAAACGCAATCCTAAATGAGCTTGCCGCACTTCAAGGCCAACATGGATGAGGCGAACAGCCATTTATGCTCGATTCGAAGGACCAAGGTGCATGGCGCGAAGCGCCAATGCAGTCTTGTGTATATATATAATATATATATATATATATATATATATATTGATACTCGTGGCACCCCGCAATTGTGGATCAGAATGAGGGGGCGGGCCCGGGCGACGCGGGCGTCGAGCCGGCGGACCTCGTGGCCCTCTGTCGATGGCGCCATCCTCCTCCTCCTGCTCCTCCTCCTCCTCCTCTTCCTCGTCCGCGTCCTCGTCCACATCGTCGTCGTCGTTGTCCGCCTCCTCCTCCTCCTCCTCCACCTCCTCCTCTTCCTCCTTTTCCTCCTCCTTCTCCTCCAGAAAACCAATGCGAGCAAGCCCACCGCAGGCGCCGATTTGCATGCTTGGCTTGTTCAATGAACGTAGTTTGGGTCGCGGGTGGGTCGCGAGCTCTCCACCTCGACCTGGAAGGAATTCATCAACAGCCCGCCGCAGGCGCCGAAAATTTTGACTTGCACACTGAACGCGGTGTGGGTCGCAGGTTCTCCACCTGGAACCAATGCAAAAGAAACCCGCCGCAGCCGCCGAAGTTTTGGTTTGTTCAGTGAACG